CTTCTTGCCTTTGTAGCCCCCCACCCCCATTTTGGGTAGCCAATGTCCAAGTTGCCCATCCCTGTCTACTCTGTGTGTGGAGGGGGTGGGAATGATTCTTCATGTTAGGACTTGTTCTCTCTTTTGAGCTACTGCTTTCATAGGTGTAGGTCAAGTTCATCAAATTGTATGAGAGTACTTTTTTTTAAAAGAAGATACTTCTTGAAATAAAGACTGACAGGAAAAATACAAAACAATATAGGCAGACCGACTGATTCCTACAAGTCCAAGCAAGTTGCTTGCCCAGAAGACAGCAAGGCAAATGGTCATGTCCCCTCAGAGCAAACCCCCTTCCAAGTCTAAGACTCAATGGGAATACACACTGTGATTGGTGAACACGTTCCTCACCAATACGGGGAAGTGACGGAAAAACAGCAATGAAGCTGGGAGCTAAGCCCTACAATGTTCAATAGACTCCTGTGAACCTAAGAGGAGAACTGGTTGCCCAGCAGTGTGGCAAGACCTGGGGATTCTTTGGCCCAGAGTCAGTGACACAGCCACAGAACTAGAGTGGAAAATGAAGTGTCCAGCTGATAAGAAGAGAGGGCTTATGAACAAGAACACCCACACTTGTAGCTAATACCCACTTGACCTGGCTTCAATGACTGGATGATGAAAGCTCAACTAGAAGAAGGAAGAAGAGGAAAAAAAGAGTAATCTGATACAATTTGATGAACTTGACCTACACCTATGGATGTAGTAGCTCAAAAGAGGGAACAAATCTTTACAGCAAGGCTCATTCCTACCCCCTCCATACCCAGAGTAGACAGGGATGGGCAACTTGGACATTGGCTACCCAAAATGGGTGGGGGGATACAAAGGCAAGAAGTGACTGGCTTTCAAGAGGAAACCTAGATCCAGAGGGCGTGGAGGAAGGTAGAATCTCCACTGAGTAGTATCCAATCTGTCTATGCAGGACTGATAAAAGGAAATGAGGATAGCTCTCTTGTGAAACAATAGCGAATAATTGTTATCAGGACTGATTGTGAGGGCTGGAAATGTAAAGAAAGATGTTTTGTAGCAAGGAGGGGAGTGATTGACTTTGCAATCTAGGAGCAGAGGTCCCTGGGATCACTAAGGGAGAAGAGCGGAGAGCAGGACCCTACCCGGAGAAGCAGTGATGCCAGAAATGGAGTCAGAGATGATGACGTGGAGAGATGGAGCAGCTGGCGACTTTAGACCCAGAAAGGGAGAGGGGCTGTGTGAAGACAACTGGGGAGCAGGCTTGCAGGGTATATCCTTTGGTTGGTTGATAATGCATAAAGGGGGTTATAACCATGGCAATGAAATGATATATGATAGGATGAATGTAAAACTATTGTTCTCCCATGTAAACTATCACATAATTCACAATTGTTGTTGTTATTATTATGTGCCATGGAGTCGGTTCCGACTCCTAGTGACCC